GGGTGTGCTGCCTAGTTGTGCGGCGGTTACGTCAATGAAAAGATAATGAACCCATTCTGTCCATTTTTGGATTTTCCGTTTACTTTTGATTTTGTGACTTTTGAGGACTGTTTGGCCTCATTGTTTTAACGATGCGTTCTCTTTGCTTTCAGAGCCATCAGGAACAAAGGGGTGGGAGGAGACTCGCACCGGCGGCTGTGCAGTCTCTAGGGGTCAGCATTTCGGAAAGGTCGATCGGTTGGTTGGTGTGTTGGGTTTGTTGGGCGCTGAGGTGAGGTAGGCAGGAAGGTAGGTAGGTAGGTAGGTAGGCGTAGGGGAGGCTTCTGATGTATACGGGTATTCTATTTGTGGTGATTTGGGACATCTCTTATGGGAATGAAGGAAGGCTGTAGGGGCGGCTGATGTTCTCGAGCTGTGTGTGTGTGTGTGTGTGTATGACAGTGTGTGTGTATGATAGTGTGACAACTAGTGAGACGTAGGTAGGTCGAACAAACATAAAGCTCTCAAAAGCTCTCCTGGCGCTTTCTTTCCGCTGTGACGGCACGTCGGTGTGGGCAGACGTGTGTGAGAGCCACGAGCCTCGTGACGAACACAGGAAAAGGGCGGACAGCGCGAATAAGTGTTGTTGGCTTCCCGCGGAATACCGTTTAATCTGGTAGTTGGGTGTTCCCCTTGGTTGAGGAAAAATCTTGGAAATATCTTTTGGAAGTATCTTTGAGCACCCTTTTCTCAAGGCTTTCTTGGCCGAAACCAAGATCATTTGTGCCTAGCGCTCATGCCTCAGTGTTGTGGTGTGCTGCGCTGCGCTGCAATGCTCCGAGCTCTGCTTGTGTTTTGGCGCGATGCACGGCGGTCCCTGCTGCTCGCAACGAACACATGTGCATGGATGATGCCGGCTATCTATACTGCTACCTGGTGGCCGCCTATAACCCAACCGTTGTTGAAGAGGCGGACCTGCGGATATAAATGAGTAGATCGACGAGCTCTTTTAAGGAGCCATAAATATTATTATTTATATTATGAGAGTTTCACTTAGTAATCTACATTTGCTTCGTCTCATCTTGGCGTACTGGAATGCGCCATGGCAACTACAGGTAGTACGGCAGCTGGCAGCAGATTAATAGCAGCAGTACCAAGTGGGGGTTCAACATCGGCCCAATGCGGCGACCGTTGTGTCGGTCAGTGCTCTCATAAGACGGGGGTTCGGTTGTGTGCGGTTGTTGACGATGATGTCATTCGACTGCCGGACCGGACGCCTCGAGGGCGTTCTTGCGGCACTGTGCTCCATTAATTCCTAATTGGTTTTCCATTAGTGATGTTAGTAGTAGTGTTATGTTATTAGTGATGTTAGTAGTGTTATGTGGGTAAAAGGTTGGAGGACACATTGGAGGGCACGGCGGTAGTGGAGTGCGGGAAGGCGGAGGAGAGCTGGGGGAAGATGAGTTTTGCAGAAATGGACAGACAGATGCTTCGCGATTACATGAGGTAATGGATGTGTGGCTGCACGTGCACAGGGATAGCAAATAAGAATGCTGTACTTGGGGTTTTCTGGCCGGCCAGGCCAGCTAGTCCGTGCCTGCCGTCTCTTTTCCTGCTTTCCACGTGAGCTGTCACGCGTTGAAATCCGCTTTATCGTTCGTTTCAAATGATTCCGTCGCTGTTGCGCTTCCGGTGACCAATGCAATGCCGTTGGGGAGAGGCACAAGCCACTCCTCAGAAATGCGCGTTTCGGAGCGTGGTGGCCCCAACTGGAAAATGAACAGCACATGTGTACATGTATGTATGTATGCATGGGGGAGCCCCAGTATTGATGTCTGTACGGCTGTACGGTTATGCCCGTGGCCGTACGCCGGCATTTTTGTAGTGGCACTGGGGGGTTGAGCCGACTGAGCTTTTGGTGCAGACGGATGATGGTGCCGTGTATGTAGCCGTGCATATCGCGGGGATCACTGGGGGGGAGGGGGCGGGCGGCGGCGGCAACCCGCGGCGGATGGCTGCCTGTGCCGTGTAGCGCAGAGAGTCATTTTCATGAGCCCTGCTCATGCGGGTACCATTGTAGTAGCTGAATGGCATGGCTTCAAGGATTTGCAGCTGGTTTTACAACCCGCCCTTGATGTCGCCCTCACCCAAGCTCGTCCTCACACATCATTCGACCTTCGATATTTTGGAATCTAAGCACAGGACTACTGGAAAGGGCGTTTTCGGCCTTCCACGCGTTTGATATGCTTGTGGGCTTTTAAATTTCGGACTTTGGCGTTCATATGCCGTACGTTGTACGGCGATGTTTGGAGAATTGTACATCTTTCAGGGCTTGGGTTCGCCTTGGGAAGTGTGGGGTGTTCGGCCGCAATCTTGTGCTATGTTGGAAAAGAGTAGGCGTCGTTTGGGCTGCGCTGGTTTTTGCGTTCTGGAATATTCACATACTATAAGTATCGGCCTGTCCTATCTAGCCCCCGCCCTCTTTGGAAGCTCATTAGTACTTAGCGTCCAGATGACGGGGCCCATTAGCACGTGGGAGCACAGCAGTGGTGTGGGGGTGGAAGCCGGAAACCGGGGCACAGGAAACCGCGACCTGCACCAAAAAAAGCTGACTTCGTGTTGACATATGGCCGCGTCGCACCGTAGGGTGAATGTTGGGAAGGCTATAATTTTATAGCCATGTTGTTGTTGTTGTTGTTCCATGTTGTTGTTCTTGTTGGGCGCAGGTCGATCTTGTTGTGGCAGCGCAGTGGTTTCCTTGTACTTGGGTTGGATGCGGGGCTATCCTTGGAGTGTTGGAACCACGCCAGGTACCCACGGAAGTGGCTGCGACCTCACGTATGGACTTAGGGTGTTCTTGCTGCAGCAATAGCTGCAGGAGCAACAACAACAGGGCAGGAGTGTTGGGGGCCGGTGTTTTACGAGCATCGCTAACACCTTAGGTGAGCAGCTGCTTCTGACCCGTCATCATCCATGGCTGCCAAGTGCAAGGGTGCAAGCCGTACTTTTACCCTCATGCTGCTGCCCTTCCATGACCCGCGAGGGAGGGGGCTACTTTCGTTTAAGTGTTTGGAGTGGTCGTACGGAAGTCCAGCGTCGTATTATACGGCATTGAACCCAGGTGGTAATGATAACCTTGAGCGGCGGGGGGGAATGATGGCTGGAGGATCGTGGGTTGATGTAGGAGACAAATATGAAAAAAGAAGGTAAGAACGTGCCGGCCAAGGCGAGAAGGCAAAATAACAATGCTCTTGGCCAAGGGCCTGGCTTCTTGGCTTAAGGGCGCTGCGCGATGGTGCGTGTCATCATGTTCTTCTTAAGGGTCTTAACGATGTGTGTGTGCGTCCGTCTGTCTGTCTGGGGGGAGATCACATGCAAGCAGGAAAAAGAGCGAATGCGATGGTGTGGTCGTTTCGACTGACAGGCGACGGTGTAGCTGTGGTAGCGAGAGAATATCTCACGGATCGGGAGATATTTTAAATAATGATAACCGACGAGCGGGAAGTTTAGCAACAAGCAGGCCTCCTGCATTACCTCGCAGATTTACAGCAAAGTGTGAGATTTGACCGGGAAACCTGGCGTCAGAGAAGACAAAACCTTTTTTTGCGGGAATTGGTTTTGGCATGTTGCGGCTCTTTTAACTGTGGATTTTGGTGACCTTTTGTTACAGAAGGCACCACTGTTTCACCAGGCGGACAGCGGACGGCCTTTGGCCGGCAAGCGAAGCAGTATGTTGTATTGTGTTCGAACGGCTAGATCTGGTTGATTTTGAGGCGAGCGGTTGCGGAGCGTGAGTCTCTGCGGGCTCGTTAGGTTAGGCAGCCCACACAAGCAGCCTTTTCCAGGGAAGAAGAACATTCTGATCAGGAACGCCTGAGAGACATGGATGCGATTCCAGCACCGGTACCTGCTCCAAGTTGCGTGCGTTGAGAATAATCCGCCCCACCGAGCTCCGCCCGCCGATCGCCACGTCGTAACCGACGAATGGGGGGATGTATGTATGTATGTATGTATATATGTAGGAAAGGGAGGGAGGGCTCTATGGCATACATTCGACCGGTCACCGATTGGAATGGAATACAAAGTTTAACGCACTGAACTACACAACAAGCCTTACCAGGTATAAGAAGTTTCTTGTCCTTTCGATATCTGGTTCAGTGAAGCGAGACCAGACCTGCCTGCTGAGATGCTGTATACTACTGTGCTGGGCGGTGCACGCACACACCAGCGAACACTGTTACGGCTCTAGATCGCCGTGTCAACTCCAGCCAGCCAGTACTCCATCGTATTTAAGAGGCACTGAAGGGAATCGGCGCGAGTACGCAATGATTTTGAAACATCAGAAAACTTAAGGGTCATCTCACCGTCAGGACTGCTGCACGGTTAGTAGAATTGCACCGTTGATACGAGCGCGGCGGCTATTGACCATCGGCGGATTGGCCGATTGTGATGGCCGCACCGTTTCGCAAAAACACAGACACGCAACGGAGACTAAGTCGATTAGTAAAACCCATGTATATTGATGCAGATCTTTGTAGGTGGACACACAGCACAACGGCTGCTTTGCGACACTTAGACTTTGCACAACAGAATGCGGGAGGAGAAACTGGTTCTGCCTTTAGATGTTGGAAAGCTCCTGAACTGGAAAGAAAATGGCAGCAGCTCGCGCATTACAAAAAGATTGCACAGTGGCATCATCGCAGCAGACATGATATGCGCGTCTGGCTTGCTGGCACTCTAAAGTGTACGGCGCTCCATTTGGCGGGATTGTCCTGGCGAGTTATGCACGTGGATTAGATTGGTAAGCTTCTCGCCCACGCTCAAGGTAAAGTCCAGAAGTATTGTAATCCAGTATAGGCCTGAGAACTGCTGAAACTTTCCTAAAAGTAGACTGCTATTGTAGTTCCGACTCATACCCAACTCTCGTTTGCTCGAATGACAGGATGCCTTTACGAGGTGTGTCTGCATCTCTTAGCATATTATTGTGGACGTTAATTTTCATCTGAGTTGTTCAACGATAGGTGCTGGGGCTATCCAAGGACGCTTCTCATGAAGAGATAAAGAAGGCTTACCGACAGCGGGCGCTGCAATTGCATCCGGACAAGAATCCTGGCAACGAGGTAAGCCCTTCCGGCTCGTCAGCGGCCCTTACTTCCCGTACGGCGCGATTACCCACCTGCACGCAATCTGCGTACCCCTCCAGGACGCCAAGGCCAAGTTCCAACTCCTGCAAAAGGTCTATGGGATTCTTGGCGACGAGGAAAAGTAAGCGGGGTCTTTACTTGTTTTACACAGCACTGCATGCGGCTCTCCCATGAGCGAACTCCACCCGTCGTGGGTCGGCCTGCTGAGACGTTCCCTGAGGCGAAACAGTATTTTTGGACTGTGGTATAATCCTCAGCATTTCAAGGAGCTGTAATACCTCGAGGCCACGAGCCTGGTGAAACCACCGTTACCTGGCGTGTACCCATGATGTGATGGCCGATGGTCATTTCAAAAGGAGGGCCCCCTATAGACAAGCAAAGACAGGGTCCCAGGGAATTGAGGGAACTTCTACCGATGGTGGCTGATGTGCATGTCCCTGGTGTGCAGGCGAAAGGTCTATGATGAGACTGGCAGCACGGACGATGACGACTTGGCCGGCGCGGGTTTTGACGGGCTCGTGGATTACTTTCGGGCGATGTTTGCTATTAAGACGGAGGACATTGACGATTTTACGGTGCGCCTGGGTCGGCCCTTCTCTATCAACCTCTCCTCTCGTCTTTACAGAATGCAGGGTAGACCAGCTGCCGGCGGACCTGTTTATTCCAGGCAGTGAGGATCCCTCTCCCCGTTGTCCTTGAACTGATGGTTACATATAGAGGTCTCCAACGGCTGTAACCGCGGCTTTGTCGCTGAACCCTTTTCCTCCCGGTTTGGGCCCCTCCCCGTTCGCCACCTCCCTTTCTGCCCATCCGCAACCCACTCTGTCTCTCTCCCCCCCTCACCTCAGTATGGCAAAGCTACTGCTGTCTCCCCACGACCCCCGTGCGCAACCTCTGTCACGCCCAGTCTGCTTGTCGTTCCCTTTCCGGATTCGTGCGATCCGTAGGCTCGCTACCAAGGCAGTGCCGACGAGCGGTCTGACCTGCTGCGCTACTATAACCAATTCCGTGGCCGTATGGAGGTCGTGTTTGATCACCTCATGTGCTCAGATCCCGTGCTCGATTCGCATCGACTACGGGACATCCTGGAGGGCGCTATAGAAGCAGGTTTGTCGGTGCTCGGTGCCGAGTGACCACGGGCTGAGCTCAAATGTGGGCATGTGGGTTTTGCCGATTGGTCGGCTGGCGCTGTCATGGGCAGCAACCAGAATGATACTAAACCAAACAGTAAACCCCCTTCAAACCCGGCTCCTCTCATCTGGCATGTCGTGTTTTGTGTCGTTTCAGGACCTTGTTGTTAGGGGGTCTGCATAGGAAAGAAAAGGAAAGGAAAGGAACCCCCTACCAGGGCCTCCATGCGATTGTGTTGTGTGTGCGTGCGTGGTGCGCAGGCGAGATCCAGCGCTTCAAGCCGTACACCGCCTGGGCAAAGTCGGTAGCATCCCGGCCACGTCCGCCTGCTCGGAGGCTGTCTGGGCCCGGTGCGGGTATGGGTCCTGGCAATGCACTGATCACCGCAATACACAGCAAGGTGTGTGGACGTGTAACTGTATGTGCATGTGTATGTGTGCGGTACAAAGTAATTGCTATTACACACTCAACACACGCCAGCGCAACTCCGTTACAGCCGCTAGTGACAGCATCCCGGACCCCGGTATTCCGGCTTAGAGTGATGATATAACGTTGTGTGTTTCGAGGTTTCCCGGTTAGTGGATAGTGAAGTCAAGGGGGAACAGGCGGGAGGTGGAGTGAAGGCCGATGTGTAGGGACTGGGGACGACGGGTTCAGGATGAGTAGTCGTGTGTGTTAGCTCCCCGTGTGGCTCCCCGGCGGCTGGGCCCGAGCCTTTTCGTTTAGGGTCCATTACAGATTGTTACATGGCAAGATTATTATACCTTCTTGTTACGTACAGCAGCTGTTTCTAATGGTTGCATGTGTGTTCATGTGTGTGTTGACCAGAGGGCTGCTGCGGCCGACAGCTTTTTTGACTCACTAGTCGCCAAGTATGGTGGCGGGAAAGAGAAGGGCAAGGCCAAGGAGAAGGGCAGCGGAGGCAAGGGCGCGCATGGCACGACCCAGGTAAGCCGTTTTGCGCTGCGCGCTGTTCTCGGTTGTCGTTGTTGTTATTGTTGTTTTACCTAGACCAAGTCCAGCTTTATCAGCTGCAACTGCGACTGGCGCGATGGTAGAGCGGTTTTGCCGTGCTGAAACAGCTGACCAAGTTACATCAATGAAGCACCACGAACAGGGGGGGGCCAAAGGCAACCACCGCTCTTCTACACATCCTAAGTTTTTCTTGTATGTACTGGGACCCGTAACTATACCACGTACGTTTTCTTGTCTTCATGGCGAGTCTCACCCAGTACCCGCACTCCTAACCATCCGTCTTGACTCCCAGGCTGACGCAGAGCCCACGGACTCGGAGTTTGAGGCGGCCAGGCTGCGGCTGGTGGAACGGCAAGCGATTAGGAGGAAAAGTGGTTCCGGAGCCACGAGCAAGGAGCAGCAGGGGTCCAAGCAGGGCAAGGGCGGGAAGGGCAGCAAGACAGGCTTGGATCAGCCGGGTTCTGTGAAGGGTAAGCGGCGCAGCCGGGCGGCGGTATCGAGCGAGGACGAAATCGAAGGGGTGTCTGGCAGCGAGGGGCAGGAGGAAGAGGAAGAGGAGGACGAGCGCAGCGTCAAGCAGCCGCCTGCGAAGAAGCCCCGTCGTAGCGGTGCGGACAGGGGCTCGGGGGCGGCTACGGGAAATGCCGACACCAATGCCGCTGCTGCTAGCGGCGGCGGCGGCGGCGGGGATGAGGACCAGAAGTCTCTGAAGAAGGACAAGAGGAAGAGCGGAGCGCAAGGAGCAAATGATGGTGACCATGAGGGTGGTGCTGGAGGAGATGAGCCGAATGGAGCTGGTGGCAACGGGGACAACCGGCCGTTGAAGGCGAAGCCCGCGGCGGCGGCGGCTGATGGTCGTGAGGCTGGGAAGAGCAGAGGTGGGATGGGGATGACCATGCGAGAGATGCGCAACTTGCGTGCATGCGTGGGTGGTGTTCGGTCTTCATGTACGACAGCGAGGAAGAACGCAAGGCCTTTCAGGGGGGAAACCACGAGCGAAACGTGGCATGGAAGCCGTGTGATGCGTACATCCGTACACTTAACCATTCCTGTAGGTGTGGGAACAAAATCCGGTAGAATCAAAAGAAGCATCATTACTTCTTAGTGCTTCACCGTCAGCTCACTGTTGCTGAGGTGATTGTTGTCTAGCACAGCTCCTCGCTGCTGTCTCGCTAATGAAATTTTATCAATATGTCATGCAACAGCTTGCGCCCTACCCCGTGTAAAACTACGCACCCAGCTGCCTATGCCTATCTACCAGCTCCGATTGTGAGTTGTTATCTGAAACCTCCAAATCCTCCACCCCGTATCGTTTCCTTGCCAATCCACCACCAACACGGCGCCCCTCGATTCGCTCCGACACGCCGGCGCCCAATCCACGGCTCCGTTTACGGTAGCCAAGAAGGAAAAGGACGTGGCGCTGGGGGGCGGCCGGCGAGGGGATGAAAAGGAAAACAAAGGGGGCCCGACGCCGGCCACGGGCGAGAAGGACAAGCGGAGAGGCTCACGGTCGCATTAGCGGAGGTCCCTCGTCAAAGAAGGCCTAGCCAGCCGCCGCACCCTAGGGAGGGGCCCCTTGCGACGTTGTGGGTTCGCGTCTAGAGGTGCGTGGCCTTCTGAGGCGTTACCTATCTGCATAGACTGATATCCAGCACTGCATCGCGTGGGTGGTGGTGGAGGGGTGTATATGGAGCTACGTACTCGTATAACGGCGGCCTGTGCCAGCAACTATGCAGGGCTGGTTGGTCGACTGGGTTCCCCGTGTTCGGAAGGATATGACTTGTACGGCGGGCCGCATGAGGAGGAAAAGGCTTCCAGAGCGCGTGATTGGATAGAGCGACGAGTCTTGTTCAGTGGTGGTGTGCATCGTGTTTAAAACCTGCTGCTTGTGTTAGTTAGCTCGGCCTGCAGACTGTGCTTTTGTTTGGTGTTGATCGAACATCAAAAGTGGAAAGTTAATGCTGAAGTGATAGTGGGTGAATGAGGGTGAGGGTTTCCTGTTTAATTAATAGATAGGTGTTGCCGTTGATCGCTGGTTGGTAGACTGGGCCGGGGGCATGCAGCCTTGCTGCCAAGGTGGCATTCATCAGCTGTAGAGCTATCCCTGTACCTATACCTTGAATCTGAGGGCATTGAGAATTTCAAATCTGGTTCCTTTGTTCGTACGATTGCGCCTGTTAGGTCTGGTGCAAGGTGGGTTAACATGACAGACTTGCGGCTCAGGTGCTGTACCAAATCAGTCGTTATTTGATCTCGGTTGATGAGGTTCAGATTTGGGAACTGGGTAAGTGTGACGGCGGTCTTAAAGGGTCCTGCAAGTGAACGGTGGCATGGCTGCCTGAGCGTGTCCCTGCGTACCGTGGTTGGCGCTGATTAAGGGACACTGAAAATAGCAGTCCAGAGGATATGACGTAAAACCATCTGGATGATGTAAAGAATCTCGCCTCTTACAGCTGCCAACAAAGGAGGCATCTGCGCTTTTCCCTATCTACGCAACCAAAACACTTGACATGTCTGAGCGCCAGCATCTGGATGAAATCTCCTTGCTGGCGCCTTAGATTTGTAGTTAATAGCCATGAAATACATGCAGGTTAACAAGATATCGCAAATGCAAATTAATAGGACCCCGGCGTTACACTAGAGAAGGCCATACATGCCGGTGGTGCCTGCACGATGCTGCTGCAATCAGGAAAAATTCTCTTCTTAGTTTGGCTTGGAGGTGTGCATTTTATAAGTAGGGTCTCTGGCTTCAGGCTAGGCCTCGACAGCTTGCAGCGTGAATGTCACGGAAGAGTGTATAGCATCCACAACGATATAATTTCAAAGTATCTGATTAGGAAAAGGCGTTGTTGTGCTCAGGCCAGTTGGAGCGGTGTCGTGTCGGCTAGTAAGAGGTACGGCAGCATTTGTTAGCGCGAATTTGCTAGAGAACGCTTCCATAAGCAGAAATTTGTAATGTGAAAGGTGCAGGCTGCCTTGAGCTGTACTGCTCATCGATCCCTATTCGAACAGATCTTTCGATCCTCTCTCGCAAATTTGTCTGTTTCGTAACAAGCAAGCAGCTCTACGTTTTCGTTTAGGAAAAGCATAGCATATGAACTGATCAGGACCTAAAGGGCCTCTGCCTAGTTTCGACGAGACAAGTGCCTCAATAACACTTGGCCGGGTAGGCCCCGCGCCAACCACTTGGCCTGTAAGCCCCAGCCATGGACCTTCAGCAGCTGCCACAGCTGGAGTCTCTATGCGAACGGCTCTACACCGCCCAGGTGGGCTGTCCACCAGTTCCGGCGGCCGGGGTGACTTGTTGTATGTATGCAGCAAGGAGCACTTTGGATCCAAGTCGCTCCTCCCCACCGTCTCACCCTGTCGCAGAGCCAAGCGGAGCGCACGCAAATAGAGCAGATGCTGGGCGTGTTCGGGCAGTCAACGGAGCATGTCCCTGCGCTGAAGGTGGGCCGAACTTGGGGTCTGAAGAGGGTGTGTACGGAAGCCCAGCTGCCTGAGTAATGCAAGCTCCATGGCAAGCTTCAGTGCTCACCTACATGCCCTATGAGCCTGTCCTAAATTCTGGGTCACGTTGATAGCTCATTTGCCCTGTTCGGCCATCTGGTCAGCTGCTCGGACACGCTGGGGTGGTAGCATGGCCTCCTATAGGACTGTGACGGCCTGATTTGAAGAGTTTTATTGTTGTCCCTGCCCTGCCCTCGTACCCACCTTTCCCCGGGCCAAAAACAAATGTGTCTTTGTTTTTTGCATGTCGTTACACCTGGATTGGGGTCGGGGTTCAGTTAGCCCCGGCACCAGCTCCAGCAACCCGGTTAAAGATGGTCCAGGTCCCTGTTGGGGCAATCGGAAACGTGATTACCTGGCGCCGGGCGACCCGGGCTCCAGGCCCCTATCTATGATGCCGCTGTGGACAGGTTGGACCATGGCCTTTTGATTGCGGTCGCCCTCTAATCGCGCAACCGCCTCCTTTACCATCTCCTTCATAATGGAGCCAGCCATTCATCCTACCTTGGTCCCAGCTGCAGCTCATAGGGCTCTCGGCATCCTACATTTCCTCACCGCCGCAACTCACTGTCACAAGTCGTTTTTGCCGGGTGATGACGTTGCTGTAATGCCGTTGGTGGTATGCCCTGCAGGCTATCCTGGATAATTCCAGGTCGCCGTACGCGCAGCTGTTGGCCTCGTCTAGCCTTACTAAGCTGCTGGCGGAGCACTCGCTAAAGTACGTCGTCATCCGTCCGTTTGATTATCTTGTTTGTCTGTCTGTCTGTCTGTGCGCTCGTCCTGGTGGGGTCCCGTCCCGGGTTGCCATGGGGATCTATGTAACGCAGGGTGAGGGCGCCACCTGGTAAGTTCACACGGTGCTTAAAAGAAAGGAGGACCGGCTAGAGAGTGGACGATGTTACGTTGCGATCGTTTTGCATTAACCACTAGCAGCAGCTGTAGAAGCGGCAGTAGAGGTAGCAAAAGCAGCGGCAGGATGAAGGACGCAACGGGAGGGGTTGCAGAGCTGTTTGTTTCTGGGGCGCGGGGGATGCCATGGGGCGTTCAGGGCAAAGATCAACGAGCAGCAGCACGCGCGCCTACCTATCGGTGTGCTTCGAGTTCGCCAACGTGACGCTGGATCCCACAATCCCGCCCGGTGGGAGCCTCCGCCTATGCGAACCTTCCAGAACGTGATGGGACTGCATTGGGCTTTGCAACAAAAAAACTCCTAATTTCCCGCCTTGTGGCGCGGCGGCCCCCCCCCCACAACGTGAAGCGTCTTCGCCTCATCCCGCCAAGCTATGCAGTAGCCGCCTACACGTCACCATTGTTCCCATCGTGTCGTGTGAGACCATTTTGCACACGCAGGTGAGGGCGTTGCCGCTCTCTCAGCTCTCATCGCGAGCAGCGTTGCAAACATCCAACATCGTGCACGCCCATCGTGTGTCTTGCATGTAACCCGGACAGCCCGAAACGCACCGTTCGAGGTGCGTGCAACCGTGACAACCTTGCAAACGCTCCTGCCCTCACCCCTCTCCGGCCTCGCAGCCCCTCCGTGCGTACGGACATGAAGAACTACTTCCTGCAATACCTGGATAGGTGAGCACGCGCTTTTTCTGACTTGGAACGGAGGGGGCGATGATCCATGGGGATCTATTTTGTGCTGGGGAAACCCGTGGAGCGCGCGCTCTTCGCACGCGCAGGGACCCGCTATCTTGTGGCTGTTCCTCTCTCTCTCTCTCTCTCTCTCTCTCTCTCTCCTTGACAATTGATAATGTTGTGTCTACCAGTATACATTCTTCATTTCCTTCTGGGTTGTTGACGTCTCCCTCCCCCTTCCCCCGTTACCACTCCCTTTGCACGGACCCGCACATGCCCCCGCACACGCGCCACACCTGATCAGCAACTGTGCCACGTTGGAACATTTCGTGTGTTCTTCGCTGGTGACGTTGCTGTGTCGTACCGCCAAGCTGGGCTGGTTCGATTCGGACTCGCACCGGGCCATTGTGGAGGACGCCAAGCGCTTCCTGGAGAAGGGCACTCCGGCGCACTACCTGGTGGGCCTGCGCATCCTCAACACCATTGTGCAGGTGATGATTGGGGGTTGGGGTCTCGGGGCAGCGCTGGGGACGGCAGGCAGCTGGGACGAGGGAGGGAACTGGCTGCTGCTACTGCTGCTACTGCTGCCGGCTTGCTCACCTGCAGGGTACGTTTTATTGCAGCTTCCAGCATATCTAGCTCCTAGCAGTGAATGACGACCCCGCGGAGCTTGGCCCCCATTTCGTCTCGTGTATCCTGTTTTTTTTCGCTCTGGAAGCCTTTGTACTCGTAGGCTCTGACTAGTACCTCGTTTGGCCCTTGGTTCATCGCGCCTATACATATCGTCCCTTCGTCCCTCTATCACCCTGGGGAAGGGGCAACGTACTGAGGGCTTTTACTTCCGGATCCACGGGTCGATGACATCTTTCACCGCTTAGGACTCACAAAGGCATCCATTTCGGATCTTGGACACACCGGCAGCAGTTCCCACTTCCCACTCTCTCGCACATGTTTTCCCCCCCCGCCCCATGTTTCCCCCCCTCCCTCCTCCGCACCCGGGGCCCTATTCTCAGGAGATGAATCAGGCCACACCGGGAAGGACGCTGACTCAGCATCGGAAGGCGGCGGTGAACTTCCGGGACACGGCATTGCTGCGAGCGTTCCAGGTGAGCTACCTAAGTTCCGCGGCTCGTGGGTTTGCGGCTTGTGGGGTTAAAAAACACTGTAATACTGGTGTTTGGGATGGGGTTGGATAGGGGATGGAATAGGATCGTGATTGTGGAGGGGTTGGGCCTCATGACGTGTGGAGGTTTTGTTTCGCGGTCCCCGTCATTTTGTGAAGTGGAGCAACGCAAAGTAGTTTAAAATCAACACAGGAAATGAAAGGGTGTGCGCAGGGAGCAGCAGCAGCAGCTGTGGACGGAGTCTTCATGACGGCGCCTTGTTTGGCGGCTGCGGTTACACCGTTACACCGTTACACACACCTTGATGGTGGTGCTGATAGTCGCGCTATAATTCTCATTCTCCCATATGTCGATGTGCATATATATGTGTGTGTATATGTATGTATGTGCGTGTGTGTGTTACACCTCCAAAGTTGCGTTACCTGCCAAAGGTATTATGGCTGCCCGCCGCAGGTCTCTTTGTTGGCACTACAGGAGTTGAATGCACGCATGGCGGACGACAAGCTTAAGGGCGAGGTAAGCACTTATCTTCGTGGTCCGAAGTGGGGTTTGGGATTTGGATTAAGAGCAAGAGGGAGTTGCTTGTTGGCGGTGCAACGACGGCAAGAACGGAACAACAACAGCAAAAACGACAACCGAAACGATCTTGTTTGCCGTTTGGTCCTTCGTGTCGTCAGGGCTTGAACCTGGCGCTGGCGTGTTTATCATTCGACTTCGTGGGCACGTGCTTGGACGAGTCTTCGGAGGAGTTGTGCACCATCCAGGTGAGTGTGGGGGGGGAAGAGTGGAGTAGAGTGGGGGCAATGCTGAAGACAGCTGTGGTCGAAAGGACGGGGAATAGCTTTTGCAGGGAAGGGAAATGCAGGGAAGGGCTGGGCTATGTGCTGGAGCGTCGATTGGTCCGTTTGCAGTTGGTAATGGAGTTGATTGGATTTTGCCTTCTCGCCTACTCGAAGCGTCTGGATGGTGGTGGGACCTAAGGTGTCTTCCAGGCGACGGGCCACCAAGTCCGCCCTTCCTGCGTTTTCCCCTAACTACCCTGCGTGGTGTGTTTTGGCCCCCGGGCAGGTTCCCTCCTCCTGGCGCCCGGCCGTCGAGGACCCGGCAACACTGCAGGTACTGCCGCTTAGCACCTCCAGGAACATTTTAGCTAACGGAGCGCCAGGGCCATTAGGAGGAGGGGGCAGAAGATGGAGTGCTCCACTGCAGCATGTGTTTTTTTAGGGGGGGAAGGAGGGGAATTGGGATGTGTGCAACTTTGGAACGTGCGTCTTGCCTGCCGTGCTCCACTCACCCGCACCCTCGGGGGGGGGGTTGTAGTAGTGGCTTGTGCATGTGTGCTTAGGACTTAAGTGTGTATTCTGCTCCTGTTACATATGCTGATGATGATGATGTTGGTGATGCTCATGCTGCTGTCGCATGAGTTTTCCAATTTTTCCATTCAATCCATTTAGCCTCCCTCACCTTCCCTCGTATTGCATTTCAGTTTGCAATACGCGTGCCTCGATTGAATTCTAATTCCATTTCACCCTTCGCTCGTCCATACACACTCTCCTGTCCTGCCTTTCCCCTCTCACTCACACCTCGCCTCGTCGCTGCAACCCCGCCCCCCCGCCCAAACCCCCGAGCAGCTTTTTCTGGACTTGTACTCCTCCTGCCAGCCGCCGTTGTCCTCCACTTCCCTGGAATGCATGGTACGACTGGCTGGTGTACGACGAAGCCTTTTCACGTCGGAAGGAGAGCGCCTCAGGTGGGTTTTGGCAAGGTGGTGCGGTTTCCTCTGTTTACAACTTCATCTACACACACATAACACCACCATGGCAATGGGCACTTTGGACCTTGGTAGTTAGTTATATCTGGCTTGTGCATATAATCCGCCCTTATTCATATAACCCGCCCTTTTCGTTCGTTTGTAGACCCGTGCACTTTGCAATTGCCCATCCATCTCCATGGCCCATTGGACCCATTGTCCATCCTGCCTGCTCTCTTCCACCCCGCTTCGCGCGTACATACATGTGCCGTTGTTTATATACACTGTATGTGTGTCTGTCGGCGTGTGTGTGTATGTGATTCTGCGGGATGGGCCGTACAGGTTCCTCAATCGGCTGGTGGCGGCCACTCGCTCCATCCTCGATCCCGCAGCCCGGGGCCGACTGGCACAACATGACAACTTCCACGGCTTGTGTAGACTGTTGGGGAGGTTAAAAACCAACTACCAACTGAGCGAACTGGTGGGTAGTGGTGGGTAGGTAGGTAGGTAGGTGGGTGGGTGGGTGGGTGAGCGAAGTGTTAATGGCGTAGTGGGTGGCGGCTATTATGTGGGTGTGGGTGGGTCGGGCTCGGTTGGAGAGGGACCCGGACGCGGCGACACTCGTGCGTATGTACGGGGCCATGTTCCTTCTCTGTGTTCTTTACCTCGTTCTTAGGTTCTTCGACATTCTTAGGTTCTTCGACAGGATTCCTAGAAAGGTTTTGGGATATATTTGTGGAGGCGGTAATGGAACGGGGCTATGCGAACGGGGGCTGTGTGTGCACGTCGTAACATGTTGTTCTGGCGCTCCTGTCAATCGCCGCACCGCCGCCGGCGCCGCCGCCGTGTTGGGAGAGCGGAAATAAGCGCACTCGATGGCAATAACCGCCTTACCATGGCCTGCACTTCGTCCGCCGCTCCCCACACTTTTGAGTTATCGTCTGGGGTTCGGTTCATGCTCCCTTCCCAGCCTCCGCGGTTATCACCGCGACTTTTGTGTTTTTTCTTCAATGCCCTCCTTGAACTCCTTAGCATGTCTGGCCTCACTTCTGCTGGGTGGGGGGCCCCGCCTTCACGGCTGATGTTTGTGCAGGTTTCCGTTGACAGTTACAACGACTGGATCCAATCTGTAGCTCAGTTAACCATCTACGCGCTACAGCAGTGGGAATGGGCCGGCAGTAGCTGCTACTACCTGCTTGGGCTGTGGAGCAGACTGGTGTCGTCCATGCCGTACCTCAAGGGCGACTCGCCGTCGCTGCTGGAGGGCAACGTGCCCAACATCACGCAGGCCTATGTCACCTCGAGGTGGGGGGACAGTGTGGGCGGGTGTGGAGGTTGAGCGGGTGAGGGGTGGAGAAGGGGGGGAAGGAGGGGAGAATGGGGAAAGGGTGGCCGACGAGTAGAGGAGGGTCGGTGTGGAGGAGTGTGTGTGTGTGTGTGTGTGTGTCTGCATGGCCAGGTGGGTGGCCTGGTTGGATTACGCGCGGTACAAACGACTCACCCAGGGAGCAGTCTCACCCCCCCAGCCCCTCTTCCCCCCACATCACTGACACATAACCCCAGCACACGGAGAGAGGGGCACGTGCATGTGTATGGGGGGGGGCTTGGAGCACACATTCTTACACGCGCTTGCATTCAATACACCTATCGGCACCAATGGCTATCACCGTAATGGTCGCGTGGGCGCTAGGAGACACGGAGACTTGTTTACATAGCCAACCACACGTATACACACCCGCCTCCCCATCCTTCCATCTGTACGAAACACCGTAGGCTGGAATCCGTGCAGCGATGTGCCGCTAACCCCTCCTTGGACGACATGTTGGACACAGAAGACGCCCTGTCAGAGCAGCTTGACGCGCTGCCGTACTTGATGCGGTACCAGTACGACAGGAGCGCGCAGTACTTGACGTCGCTGATGGACCCTGCATGCGATTATTACAAGCAGGCCTCCCAGCAGCCGCTGCCGGGGCCGCAGTTATCGTTATTGGAGGGGCAGCTGACGTGGCTTGTGTACATTACGGGGGCGGTTATCAAGGGCCGCTTGGCGACTAGTACAAATGCGGATAGCCAGGTGCGGCGTTGGGGCGAGATGGTTCCCGTCTGGATCACCTCTTCGGGGCGCCTTGCCTTTTCCTGGACCGCCTCCCTTTTCCGCTTTTTTACCATTCGGCTCTGCAGCCGTGCATGTGCAAAGATTGCATTGCTTTATCGCCATCGGTCGAAGAACTCATCACTCAGCTGTTCGCATGTCCCCGAACCAGGCACTTGCGTCTGGTTTTCGGGGTCCGTGGCCCATTACGTGTCCGTGGGTTCGCGTTGTCCGTTTCCCTTACGGGGCCCTTCCGATCGCCCCCTTCCCCCCGCATAATTTCCATTCCCGCCCCTCATCCCGTCACTCCCGCTACCACCCTCCTCTCATCTAGAGTCGAAACCCTAAGGGACAGAACCTTGCGCAGTAGGTCTTGGGAGGCCTGGGGATTGGAATAATTTCTAATAATTTTTCTAATTTCTAATAATTTCTAATAATTTCTAATAATTCTAATCTTATTCTTCCCCCCTTGGACTCCGTCTCGCCCGCCTTCAGGAGGCCCTCGACGGCGACCTGGCTTCCCGTGTGTTCGCGCTGCTGCGTGCGGCGGATGAGGGGCTGCACACGAGCCGTTACGGCGAGCGGTCGCGTCAGCGGTTGGATGTGGCGTTTTTGCACTTCCTGCAGTGCTTCCGGAAGGTGTACATCGGGGAGCAGGTGCGTGTCATGAATCAGGGAGCTTACAGTGGCCCGACGGTCTCATGTGTTTTTACTTAGGGTTCGCCTGAGACTGGTTTCGCCTGTGTATCAACGATTCTAGTCGTGATGAGGTAAATGCCGTAGAAACAAGCCCGTACATCCGATGATTGCAAAGGATTACCCTAACCGAAGCGAGCTCCGTCGTCCAGCGGCATGTTAGATTTTTCCCATGAAACTGTGGACGTAGTTTCGGTTACCCTCAGTAAATGTTGATTTTGTAAGAATGATGTAGAAACAAGCCCGTAGAAACAAGCGGCGCTGTAGGGCGACTGGGTGGTGGTGGTGGTGGTGGTGGGCGGCTAGAACTGACTACACAGAGAGCCATGGCACCTAAAGTCCCCGCTAGGTAGAACCTGAAAACCCATTTACCTGTCCTTGATAGCGGACAGTGCGCAGAGGGTCATCATGCTACCGCAGCGCGTGCGGTGCAAATCGACGACGATCTGGACGGGCCCCTCTCCCCGGGGGCATAACGAACCATCCCATGAAAGTAGTTGGTTGACTGACCGCATGTGAACAAGCGGAAAAGGCAAAGGACGTCGGTGGAGCAGCAGCAGCAGCAGCAGCAGCAGCAGGAGCGGCAGCAGCAGTAGTAAAGCAAGAGCGGGAGTTGGTCGGTGTTGTTCGGAAGATGTGCGTGGGCATGCGAGGGCAACTGCAAAGGCCGCAATGACACATACGTCTGCGACGCGCCCCGGTCCCAACTTAGAAGGGAAAGAAGGAAATACAGAGGGAGAAGAAAGGAGATGTCGGAGCTGACGGTAAATGTAGGAAACGGTACTGGACCGGAATCTAGCCAAAGGGGTATTTTACATGCACACCAAAGGAAAGCAAAGCAAAGTGCCTTGATGCTAGTCCTGCGAAGTGTGTGGGGTGGGGCGGGTGGGAAGTGTGAGGGTTGGGGGGCATGAGCCGGGAAACCGTCGTGGCAATCGTGGAATAACATATCTTCTGCGGCGCGGTATCGCACAACGCCAGTTGTCTCACGTAACGCGGCGAGGAGGCCAGGTTAGGCCGCCATGGGGATGTTGTGGGTGGAGAAAACGGCAAGTCGGATTGCCTGGCGTGCAGCAGCTCTCTCTGCTTGTTTGTCGCTTTGCCTGCCGCGCATGCCCCCACCCGCTCTCCTTCCCCTATCGCCCAGGTCATGCACAGCAGCAAGGTGTACACGCGGCTAGCTGAGAGGCTAGGATTGGAGGACCACGCGGCAGTGCTTTCAGTCATGCTGGCAAAGGTGCGAAAAAACCCTGGGGCTGGGAGGGCCCGCTGGAAAGCGTGCAGTTGGTTGGGGCAGGGTGTCGGATAGGGTACGTATATCGATGGTAGTGATGGTGGTGATAGGTGAACGACGACGCACGATGTCCTGTTTCCTGTTGACTTGGGCTCGGTTGACTTTCTATCAATCATCGATCTGCACCGGCAGAAACCCCGCTGCCCTCTACCCCCCCCCTTTACGGTGCCATTGGCCCCATCCTCACCGTCCTCCTTTAATGCGGCCGCCCTCCTACTCCGTCTTTCCTGCTTTCCTTCTCTTCACAGATTGGCACCAACCTCCGAGTGTACGGCGCCAGCGAGGAGCTCGTACATCTGAGTCTAGTGCTTTTCCAGGTGAGACATGACGTGGGACCTCAGGCCCCCGTCCTGGATGGAAAAAGAGATCTCCTACCGTTTCCTCTATCGTATCGCACAGCCCGCCGCGACCGCCACGACGACCAAACCACTCAGCTTCCCTGTAAACCCTGAAAATCCCTGAGCAGGAGCTCGCCGCGGGCTACATGTCTGGCAAGCTGCTCATGAAGCTCGACGCCGTGTCTCAGCTGCTGGTAGCCCACACCTCCGAGCACTACGCCTTCCTGGATGCGCCGGGTAATGGTCGCAACCGCACCACCTACTACGCGACACTGGCGCGACTGCTGTTCATGGAAGACACGCCGGCACGGTTTCGGGCCTTCGTGACGCCGCTTCATCAGGTCGGAGGGGGGGCGGGCGGGGGGGAAGGGGAGATGAGGAGATGAGGAGATGAGGAGGGGGTGGTATGGATATGGGTGTGGGTGCTGGGCGGAACGTGGTGGTGGTGTGGAAATGTGGGTTGTACTGCGGCACCTCCATTGAGGCGAGTTTGTTTCTTCCTCCTTCTCCTCCTCCTCTTGCACGTACATGCTTCTTTCCGCCTCTGTCCTCCTCTCCTTTCCCTTAGCCTCTCTTTGTCCCCACGTACAAGTCGCTGCGTCTATTCTTCCTTGTTTTGCCCTCTTGTTTTTGTCACACCTTCGCACGCACTGTCTCCCCGTTTTCACTGCCCTTCCGTGCCAACCTGCACCCCCAGGTGTTGCTTCAGCTGGGCCAGACGGTGGCTGCAGCGCCCTCCGTAGCGGCCCTGCGCCAGGCTGTCCCCGTCGCTCGCGTTGCGGGACTGTTCCGGGACCTGCGGGGTATTGCCTCCGCCACCGCTACTCGCCGTACGTACGGCTTCATGTTCGAGTGGCTTTACCCGCAGCATATGCCCACGGTGCTGAAATGCTTGGAGGTGAGAAGAGCGGGTTGTTGGCTGGAAACGTGTGTCGAGGGGGCGGTGAGGAAGAGGAGAGGGCAAGCATTGCACGGCTGGGCGTACGGGCGGGCGGGTAAGGGGAGAAGTCTTTTTTGAATGTATTTCGGTTTTGTGTCAGCTAAGGAGCGGAGCTGCAGCGGACTGGCTGCTGGGTTACCGGAGTAGCGGTTGCCCCAGCACTGCTGGCGTATGCAAAACGTGCATGGCACTGCAGCGTGCAGCGTGTATCATTACCAGCTTACATTGAGCATCCTGGCGCGCGACGCAATGCCACCACACCCCGGTATCCCCCCGCGTCAACCCCACCCCCCTCTCCCGCGGTAGGCCTGGTCCGACGTGCCCGCACTGACCACCCCGCTTCTCAAATTCATTGCGGAGTTCTGTTTCAACAAGAGCCAGCGCCTCACCTTCGACAGCTCCTCCCCCAACGGCATCTTGTTGTTCAGGTACTGTGTGGTTGTGTGGTTTAGGTGGTTTGGGTGGTCTGGTGCCGAAGGTGGGGCCCCGTTCTCTTTTTTCCCCTTGTCGTCCTCCTTCTCCTCCTTCTCCTCCTCCTTCTTCTCCTCCTCCTCCTTCTTCTCCTCCTCCTTCTCCTCCTCCTTCTCCTCCTCCTTCTCCTCCTCCTTTTCCTCCTCCTCCTTCTCCTCCTCCTTCTCCTCCTCATCGTCCTCCTCATCGTCCTCCTCTCTCGGAGTTGTTTGGACTACCCCATTGTGGACGTGGGCCTGTGTGAGACGGTTACGTGTGTACAGCTGTACGATTGTGTGTACGATTACGGGTATATTACAGCACCGTATGGGACTCCGCCCCTTTGTTTTCCGTCTTTTCCCGTCGGGCCGTGCGGCATGTTGACCAGCGCATGTACCAGCCGCCATGTCTTTTGCGTGCCAGCTTGTTTGCCAATGCGACGGTCTCTTTGACCCCTTACACGCCTTTACCTTCGTCGCGTCCTTCTTACCGTCTTACCGTCGTCTTGTCCTGTGCAGAGGAACTCAGTCGAAGGCCGTTGTTGGTTGTTAGAGTGCCGTACTGCGCTGTGTGGCACGTGCAGGGAAGTGAGCAAGGTGGTCGTAACTTACGCCAACAGTTTGGCGCTGGCGGGGCAGCCGAACGGAGGGGCCGCGGGTGGCGGTGCTGGTGCCGGCGGAGGGCCCGCCGGCGCCACGGGTGGCTCGGCGGTGTACGACACGCGGTACAAGGGCATTTGGGTTTGTCTTCTGGCGCTGGCACGAGCCATGAGCGGCAATTACGTCAACTTCGGCGTGTTTGAGTTGTACGGCGATCCGGCTCTCAAGGTGAACGGCAGGGAAAGGGGGTCGGAGTCTGAGTTGGTGTGTGTGTGTGAGTGAAAAAGGGGCGTAGGAGAAATTCGTTTTCGATGGTGAAATGCTTTTGCGGGGAGTCCCTGGGCGGGAGTGGAGTTCACTCCGGCTTGCGGTGCTGCATCTGGTGTCGCATATACTGCCTTTTGGCACCATTCGTACTCCCTTCTGCTGCTGCTGCCATTTCTGCTGCGGCCACATCCCCTGACAATGATAGTACTTGCTGCTGCTGCTGCTGCTGCTGCTGCTGCTGCTGCTGATAATGACAATCATAATGATAACGACAGTGATGGTAAACATGCTGGTGATGATGATTGTTATGATGTTGGCGACGTCGTTTCCCGCTGCTGTCTGCTGCTGTTGACACCGCAGGACGCCCTGGAAGCAGCTCTCCGCATGGTGCTGTCGGTGCCCCTGGCGGACCTGCTGGCGTTCCGCAAGCTAGCCAAGGCCTATTTCGCACTCATGGAGGTGAGAGCCCCCCGGCCCCGCCAAAAACACACTGCCGAAACCGGTGGCGGCACCCTAACCGCTGCTGCCGCTACTGCTGCTGGTACGCTATGCTGACACCTCCTTTCTGTGGGCCAGACGTTAGGCGGCGCTCCTCTCCTCCCTCGCTCGCCACCACCATCACCACCTCACGTACATATAATCTTCGCCATCGCCGGCCCGGGGATGGGATTGGGCGCTGCTGCTGGTGTCCTGTCGCAGGTCCTAGCTGCGGGTCATGCCAGTGTGGTGGCGGCTCAGGACACCCGTACCTTCGTGTTCCTCATGTCCTCCTTGGAGATGGGGCTCAAGTGAGTGGCTGGATGACTGGGAAGATGGGAGCATGAAGCAGCAGCCGCAGCAGCAGCCGCTTTAGTACCGCTAACTGCAGCAGCAGCAGCAGCAGCAACAGCAACAACAGCAGTTGCTGCGGGGACGGGAAGGAAAGCTGCTTCTGACCGTGTCGAGCTTGACATTGACAGCTGCACCTTCTGCGGCGGGAGGTCCATCGGGGAGCGCACACACACACACACTCTCTCTCTCTCACGCACTCACGCACTCACTCACTCACTCACTCTCGCACACTGGACGTTACTGACTGTTGCGGATTTCGTGTGCGATGTCCGAACAGTATTATGTAAAACCTCTGCATTTGCTATCCCTTGATTCCTAATCCTCATCTCGGCGCGCCATCCTCAACCAACACCCATCCTCAACACCCATCCTCAACACCCATCCTCAACACCCATCCTCAACCAACACCCATCACGGGCCCCCTCCTGCCGCTCCTCCAGGTCGCTCGACGTGTCCGTGTCGTCCTCCTGCGCCTCCGCAGTGGACAACATGGCCTCGTTCTTCTGGCGCCACGTGGCCTCAGCAGCGGCAGGCCACCCAGAGACCTCCGTGGGGCTGTCCGGGGGCCCGGGAGGACTGGGCAGCGCCGCACCCGTGCATGGAGCGCAGCAGATGGCCCAACACGTGGGTCCGGGGATGCGGGTGCTGTTGCGGAGAGATGTGTTGGCTAGGTTGGTGGATCGTGCTGGGGCACGAGAGTTGTATTGCCACCCCAGCCCATCGTGGTGCTCCTTTCCTTTCCTTACCTTTTGCCATCCACTTCCATCCACTTCCTTTTTTTCCCGGTCGTCCTTCTTCGTCGCTCCTCAACTCTTCCCCCCTCTCTCCTCTCCTCTCCCCTCTGTGTCGTCCCTCCAGGTCGCCCAGCACCCGAACATCTTCCCCGAGCTGCTTCGCGCACTGTTCGAGATCGTCATGTTCGAGGAGTGCTCCAATCAGTGGTCTCTGTCCCGACCCATGCTGGCACTGGTGCTCATAAACGGATCCATGTACAATGACATCAAGGTCCGCATTCTTCGTATTCTAAAAGATAGACCCGCGGGAGACGACTTGAAGTAGCGGTGCTGTGCCGACGGGGGAACTGTTGGACCACTTGAAGTCTTCCAGTTTTGCTATCGGTGTGTCTTTCTGTCTGTCTATCTGCTGTCACCCTGTTCAGCGGCATATTTTTCGTGCCATGTCTTTGTCAACCGCAGGCCGGCCTAATTGCCTCTCAGCCCCCAGAGCGTCAGGCACATCTGGCCAGTTGCCTGAACAAGCTCATGGTGGATGTGGCGCCGTCTCTGGATCCCAAGAACAAGGACCGCTTCACACAGAACCTCACGGTCCTGCGCCACGAGTACAGGTCCAAGACCTAACCTAGGTGGTAGGCAGATAGGGCCTGGGGTGGGGGCCAAGAAGGAAGAGGGGCAACGGCGCAAACGAAGACGGGCGCCAGCCGAGACAGCGCCTTCTTCTCCTCTATTCAGTGACTCGCGACCGGCTGACCGACCATGTCTATATATATATTCTATTTTTGCCACTGCTTGGGCTGCTTTTTCAAAACAGGTAATTTCGTCCTACAATTCCGACGATGGGCGTCCCTTTCTCCAAGAATTGACCAAAGAACGAAATATCATATTAATGAGAAAATGACGCGGAGGCGAGGAGGACGGCTCAAGGAGGCAGGGTCGCGGTCGGCTTGTTGGGGTCTCACCTTACATCCTGAGTACGACAGTATTGCCTGGCAGCAGCACTTGTGCAGGAGAGAAAAGTCAATGAACAAGGCAACGAAGGAAAGCGATCCAGAAGGCGGCCCGGTGTGCGTGGGCAGAGCTTGCACGTAGGAATCGTGCGGGCCGCCGTTGCGCCGTGCAGGTTCGCATCACATGAGGGGGGAATGCTAGATACTAGGGTGGGCTGTCCGTTCTACTGCGCGACCTCGCTAGCCCGCGTTGCCGTGTCTCAGTTCTCAGGTTCGGTAGGGGTTTGAAATTGGGGAAGGAAAGATTAGTGGCATCTATCCATCCGTCCAGTCCAGGTAGACTGACAGCTGACGAGGGGGAGGAGCGCCGCGGCAGTCAGCATTACAGCGCAGCGCAGCGTGAATAGATGCAGGTAGAGCGCGCAATAAAATGCGACCGAGGAGCTGTTTTCATCTGTTGTAGGTTAAGGCAAGGTAAAAGCAAGGGTATAGATGTCCACAGGCCTCTGGGTGTCACAATTCGGGCCGGGGAGGGGGGATTGGGCAGTGGTCGCATTCGGGATTGCTGGCGCGCCGGGTGTCGTTGGATACATATCACGCCGCAATCGCGGATTCGGCGGGTCGGGGAAAGGGAGGAGGAGAGGGAAAAGCCTTGGGCGTGCTTCCGAGTTCCGACTCGTTGCACTTCAGAGACAGCACCCACGCTTCAGCTCTGCCAGGCAGCTTGCGTACGCCTGCGACACAGCGCGATGGCACCAAGGAATGAGGCAGCAGCGCACTGCTCCGCTGGGACATAGCGTCACTGCGAGTGATGGAGGCCGTGGGGTCTCCAGAAATTCCATGCTTTATGTGGCGGCTTGGTTTGTTTGCGCGCTCGACGGGATGCGGTTTCTTCCTTTAAATTGCAGGGGCACTCATAGAATATATTAGCACGGCAGCCAAATGCTCTGAATAGCAGCTGCGGCGGGATAAGGAGGGCGGCCGGTAGGAGTGGGAAAAGAGTCGCTGTCATCAGCATCTTAGGCGTGGCCTTGGAATCAGCAGAGGAGGAAGAGAGTGATGTAGGTAAGGGCCGCATGTACGTGAATGGTACGTCCAGCACATGCAGGGTAGTTGCGGCCGAGGGTAGATTAACGGCGTGTGGATGGGCGGCCCGGAAGCGCATGGGGTGGTGGACCGACATTGTCCCCCATCTCTGCTAGAACCTGCCCTAGGACGGCAGCGTTCAGAGAGGCAACACCTGTTTTCCTGTTTTATCGATCTGACGTTCGCTCGTGTTAGACGCATTTTTGCTTTCATGGCGGGTTGCCCTCTGGGGTTGTTTGCCAACAGGGCGGCGGTGTGGCGTGGTGGCTCGCTTTCCGTCGTTAGCGAGGCGAAGCGAAGCGCCTTTGCGATAGGCAGGAAGGAGAGAAGTGCAAGGGGCTTTGTAAAGAGGGGGCTGGTTTCGCAGTATTTGGTATCCGATTAAAAATGGAGTGAGACGCGTTCTTGCGCCCACTGCACTTATAGCTCTGTTGCGAAAAGCAAACAGACTTGATAGGTTGATTGCCGAACTCGAAGAAATGACGTATAGCGGTCTCTTTGGTTAGCAAATGAGGGGTTTTCTCAAGCTGCCACTGCGACTCATCACAAGAGTCGGGCAGCAAGTGAAACCTGGTGCATGCGGGGTGGTTGCTAAGCAAAATGGACATGCATGTAACAATTTCTATAGCAGGCTATTACTGATGCACGATAGGTGCGTTGAATAGTTGGCAGCAGGTCTGTGATGCGCCTGCATAGAAGAAATGATTAGAACAAAGTTATCATACCAGGGAAGTAAGCCTCCCTTCTGGGAGGACCTCTGTGCTACTGACGGTTTGTTCGCAAGTACGGCAGCATTGAAGACGTGCTTGGCTCACCTCCGCTCTGGTCTCACGTAGCATGCAAAGCGGCATAGATAATTAGGGATTCATGGAAACAATTGTCCCGATTAAGCAGCAAAGCATGCCGCAATTGTATGATGCAAACCGCCATGAGGTAGGAGCACGAAAGCATGCAAATCACGAGAGGATAAGACGTAGAGCCAGTGAGACGTCGAATATCTAAAAAACGACACTTTATTTCTGATATGTCACTTACGTCACACCGCTGCTTCCATAAATGAAAAGGAATTGGCCGTACATCGTCCTGCCATGTATACTGCGAGGAGATAGACCCCTTGCCTTGATCTCGACCTGGCTGCCAGGCAGAGATATAGACACATCTTCTCAGCCATAAATGTTTGTCTTGTGCGTAGGACAGTTTCAAAGATCGCATACCGGTCTAAGCATAACAGGGCCCCGTGAGCGACATAGAAGCGCGGCTTTCATATCACACTCATGCTTGCACATTTGTGATTTAGTACACCGACTTTACGATATTGGTGTGGACGGGCCCTCCAGCATCTGAGCCCGCAAGCCCGAAAACCTTATAGCGACCTGACAAAATCGTCCAGCCCCATCGCGGCGCACCCATAGGATATCACATCTATAAATTTGCGTTCTAGGCGCAAAAGGCAAACGGCGTCGCAAGTCGCGGGGCTTTCTCCCCGCTTGGCAACGGGATAATGGGCGACTATAACGATGACCGGCAGGTAATTCCTGCACTTTGCGAGTTGCCTCGATACATTTCTCATGCATGCTTGGCGTGCAAGGGCTCATGAGGCCGCGGCCCCCAACGGGCTGCCACTTCGAAGCTGCCTGCATACACCTTGCTTGATAACGCCTTTTGCTCCTGCACTTTCAGGAATATATTCCTGCAAATCGTGGAGGCCGGCCATTACAGCGGCCGCTTTCAGCGCACGTCAGTAACCGAGCCCCTCCGCCACCAGCACCGACGCAGTTATCAAAACCAACCGGCAATACAAATGGGCCGAGGTAGGAATTAAAGATCCTATTTCATTGGCTCAGGGCGGTGCGGTTTTCATCTCTCTTCACCCTTAGAGAGGTCATACAGTTGCCAAAATGCATGAAAACAGACTGCGCCTGATGTGCGCGCCTCGTGTAAATTCGTCATGTAAATCTGTGCAATTTTCGCAAGCAACAACAATGATGGGCCATTTTTAGATTGAGCGCGAGTGAGTTATGTGCTCCAAGCTAATTCACCTTTGTCCTCATATGTTTCTTCTAGCGATGCTTGTATTATGCCCTGTACGCAGTCATATACTCATGCCTTAGCAAATTATCTCCAGTCCAGCTGTTCTTAAAAGCTATAAGAGTAACCAACGCGGTCGAATCCCCCACGTCCCGCTTTCCTCCTCCAAAACCTGACTGGTCCTGCATCCCAGTCCATACAAACGCCGGATCCAATCGGCAGCCACCTATCGACCGCCACGCGCTAGCTTTCAGCAAGCCCCGGTCTCTGCATGGGGCGACGCGGCCGCGCAGCCCATAACAGGGCATGGCGCGGGATTAGCTGGCGCCATCTCGCTGCCAGGTCTCTTCGCTGGGCTGGATCCGGCACCATCATACCAGCGCCCCGACCACACACGCAGTGTGCCTTCCAAGGAGCCGGAAAGTATGGAGGAGGAGCTCCGGAAACTGCGCATAACCCTCGGCGGTTACAAAGAGCAAAATGTGGGTCTCGAGGGTATGTGGCACGTGGCCATGTTGATACGCACCACCATGTGCGCAGTCCGTACTTTCTTCCCTTTACGAAAGTATGTTTTGTTGCTTAGCACTAGACGGCTCTGGCCAGGGGAGGGGAAAGAAGGACCTTCGTCTGACTGGGGTTTCTGGTTGAGGGTTTGGCGGGTCGCAAACTAGCCCGCAGGCAGGCAATGGGGCACCGGCGGGATGTGGTAAGTTGCGGGCATAAAGGATTAGAGGAGCTGGTTAACAGGAGGGAGGGACCCGGGGCAGATGGCCGTCCAATTCCATTCAGCTGTGCTTGGGCCGGATGTGGATAGGCAGGCGATTCCGCACTGTGATGTAAGGGGGCAGCATTGCGCACTGGGCCTGGGGGGGCTCTTGTGTTGGAACCATGGCGCGTGCCGTGCCGTGCCGTGCACTACAAGCTCACGCTGGCCAAAGCGAACATCTCTGCTGCCGCCAACAACGCGATGACAGTGACAACCGCACCAAGTAGCAAATAATGTTGGACCGATCCGCCGTTTCCTTTTTGGCTCCTTCTTCTTCTTCTTCCTCTCAATCTGCCACATTGGGGTCCCCGCAGCGCCTCCTGCGCACGGAGCGGCAGCGGCTAGAGGAGGAGCTGGGTCGCGCCCGCACCAACCTAGTGAAGGCTGAGGAGCTGCTCAACACCCGCGAGAAGGCGCTCAGTCCGACCATGTAAGTGCACAGATGAGCGCAACAGTTTAAACCCGGTTAGGAACCTACAGGGGTGGTGGGAGTGGGAGTGGGCCTGGGCTGGTGCTCTTCACGGGTCTTTACGGCGTCGAGCGGGGGTTGAGACGTGTGGGATGCGGAAGGGCAGGGGGAGGGTTGCTTTCCTAAACCCATCCATTCTGCCCTCCGCCCCTCGCTCCTACCATCAGAAAACATACATATACAATGTTCCCTCTCTTTTCACTTGCCTTACCCCTCCTCCTCCTCCTCCTCCTCCTGCTCCTTTGCCTTCTCAGTGGTCTGAGTCAGATGTACCGAACACCCGAGACCACCGCTCTGGTAGCCAGGTTGAAGGAGCAGGTCAAGACGCTGAGGGCGGAGAAGGAACGGTTCAAGGGGGACCTCGAGGAGTTGCTGAGGACTACCAAGTAAGTGAGGGAGGCTATTTTAGGTAGGCACTGATGCGAGAGGGGAGCGCGGAGGACAGCCTCGGGGGCCCAGATCTTGTGATGCGGTGGCGCACGAGGGGAGTTTGTTTCTTATGTGCTTGACACAATACCTGTTCTTTTAGCACACGGAACTGACACAGACCTGAAGAGTTGGATGGGGTCGTTCAAATCTACGCCGGTTTTTGCACCATCTACCACTTGATCAACCGCTTGGGAAAACGCACGTCCCCCCCAGTCAACACACACACGCACACGTTGCTTTAGGCGCCAGTAGTTTGCGGCTATGCGCATCGGTACTTGATTTTTGCTTCTTCCCTCCAGAAACACGAAACACATACACACATATCCCCCACACGCAGGGCGACCAAGGTGGCTGAGCTCCAATCGGAGGCCCACGCGCTGTCGCAGGAGCTCTCTCGCCAGCTCGAAATGACCGCCATAATGCGGTACAGAATGGAGGAGGCGGAGGCTATGGCGGCAGCGGCGCAGCGCAAGGCGGAGGCGGCGGAGGCGCTAGCGCGCGAGTACACTGAGGCGGGTTCGACGCTGCCACCGGGACCCGTACGGCTGGCGCCTGGCAACACGCTGTCGGCCAGCAGGGTGCGGAAGACGATTTTGGCGATGCAGCAGTCGCACCGAGTGTTGCTGAGCCAGGCGGCGCTGCTGCGGGCGGTGTTCCCGCCAGGGATGACGATGGACGCTCTGGCGGCGAAGGCGGCGCTCAAGGCGCCCACGGCGGGTGCGACGGAAGTGCTCCGGTACCTGCGCTACCATATGAACAAGTAAGTACTGGAGTGAGGTGGAAGAGAGACGAAGGGTTGGAGGGCTTACTGGACGGCGGAGAGGGAGAGGGGGAGGGGATAAGGAGAGGGAGCTGCATTTTAAGGGGGGGGGACTTGTGAAGGGAGGAGCGTTGAAGAGCGTCAAGATGTAGGACAGAGACAGAGGCGTGCGGTGCTTGTGGATGCAAAGAAGAGGCTTACGCCGCTGCTGTCCTGGGCTGCTCTGCGGTCTTTATGGCCCTGTTCTATGCGCTTGTGTGTTGTTGTCATCTCTGCCATTGCTCCCCTCTGTGAACTCTGCCTTTTCGCCGCACCTGGGGCCCTCCATTTCAACCTGCCTGTCTGCCTGTCTGTCCCTCTGCCTCTCTGTGGTTGGCACCACTCACTCGTTGAACACTTCTTTTTTTCTTCGTCCCTTTCTTTTTTCCCTGACACAGGCTGCAGACGGAAATGGGCGGCCTGCCAGGCGGCAACCGCGGTGAGGACGACCTCTACACGGGCACCATCACCACGGCTACACCGCCGCCGGCCCCCAAGCCGCCCCGTCCCAGACCCACTCGGCCCAGATCTGCTGGCTGCGGCCCCGTGGGCTCGGGTCCGGCGGACGGTTCCAAGCCTGTCGTGGTGGAGCCCAGCAGCGACCCACGGGTCTTACTGCAGGGCGTGGCAGACCTAGTACGAGAGCTGAGGTCCATGGATATGGACAAGTAGGTGGGGATGATGCCACAGGGGTTGAGAAAGGATACGGGTAGTGGAGGGAAACGGACGAGGGGTAGCGGGTAGAGGGACATGAAGAAACGTCAGAGCAGAGAGCAGCGCCTGGCTGCTGCGGAGGCGCCTGCCGACATGCGGAAGGAGATGATGCGGATGGAGTAACCTGGAAGGTGGTGGAGGGGGAAGCGAAGGTCCAGTCGCCATTTTCGTCGTGTTCCTTTTTTAGCGGTCTTTTCCCGTCCATATCACTCAAGGTCCGCCTCTGCCTCTACCAAGAATCTTTACACCACTCTCACCCTCTCAACCAACTACAATCACTGCCATCATCGTGTGTCCATGAATCCCTAAACCCGCAGCTTCATGGCCCGGCCTGAGCTGGAGGCTGACGTGGACCAGCTTGCTGACGTGGCCTCGCTGCTGATTGCGGAGCACAAGCGGCTCACCGGCGCCGAGTCGCTGCCCGTGTTCAAGGAGGACGATGACGGCGACATTGAAGACAACCCGCTGTACGAGCCCGTACCGAAGGCGGACGAGAGCTTGGTGCCGAAGGACCCCATGGCCCGGGACCCGGAACCGGTTTCGGAGGGGAAGGAGGAAGAGTACGAGGATGATTTTGATCGGTGAGCGAGTTGGTGATGGTGGTGGTCCTGTGGCCGGGCCCGCAGGAGCCACGGGGTTGAAAGAATGATGATGGGAATGATAAAAGGGTCGGTGATACACGCGTGGCGTGGTTACTGTCGTGCAGCGCCGCGGAGGCGGAGGCGGCTTTATTGGCAGTGCCCCGATGATTCTGCTGGTGATGCCGCTGCCTCCACTTTATTGGCTGAAGCATGATGCCTAGATGTTCGGATGTGTGCATGACACATTATGCATCTGTGCCCGCCATCCATGTAGGCCTGAGGATGAGCCACCCTCACCGATGGAGCCCGAACCAGAACCGGAACCAGAACCGGAGCCGGCACCAGCACCGGAACAACCCCTGGCTGACGGAGACAGCCCAGACGAGGGAGACCAGGTCTTGGAAGCAAACAAGCCGGCACCGCCGCTGATAATTAAGAAGGAGAACTCGGTCCGCAGCATCCGCAGCCAGCAGTCCGCGCCTGACACGCCGGTGAAGCACGTGGAGGGGCCGGCCAGCAGCGTCGGCGATCCTGTAGAGTACGGCACCCGGCGTTCCAGCATTGCCGGCAGCATGTTCAGCGGCCGCGGCTGGCAGCCCGAGGGCGCCGTGCTGACGGAGGAGGAGGACGAGCTCGCGGTGGCGCAGATTGCCGTGGCCGCGGTTGCTGCGGTGGTGGCGGAACAGGAACAGGAGGTCGCGAAAGAGGAGGAGGAGCAGCAGCTACCTGCGGACGCCGAGACGGACCTGGAGCCCCATGGCCCGGCTGGGGACGAGGATGAGGAGGCTGGAAACAAGCGTGTTGGCGAGCCGCCTGAGGAGGCTTACAACGATTTGGGCCCCTCAGCCAGCAACTACGGCGACGATGAGCCTGAACCGCCCGTGGAACCCGAGCCGGAGCCGCAGGAGACAGAGCCCGAGCAGCAGCCCGAGCCCGAGGAGCAAAGCCAGGATGGTTTGGACCTTGGCGAGCTCGCTGCCAAGTTGTTGGCGGCTGCAGTGGAGGAGCAGGCGCAGGAGGAGGAAGAGAGGCCGGCGGCGGCGGCTGAGCCTGAGCCTGAGGTGAGAACGAGCTTTTGAGCACAGGGTTGCAAATCTTGCTGGCCGTTTCTTGGCTATGCGGGGGCAACTTGACTGGAGGAGACTTGGAGGTTGGGTAGGCGCTGGTCTGATAGTTTCTTTTTTGCGGTTTCGTCTTCATCTTCACTGCACTCCAGCTGCTTGATATCATGCGACCGTTGACTCGACCATCGCCGCATGAAGTTATGTCTTGGATTTGCCGGACTGCAGGATGAAAAGCCGGTGGTGGTGGAGGCGGAGGAGAAAGAGGAGCCGCAGCCAACCCCACCCCCGGCCCCTCCACTGCCCACGCGCGATGAGCCCTCCGACAAGGGCTGGTGGGAGGCGTCGCTGCTGAGTTACAAAGCCGCAGAAGACAGCGAGCAGAGCATTGGCGCAGAGGAGGCTCCCGCGGGCGGTAAACAAGTGAAGCTGCCGCCGGTTCCAGAGCGTGCTTGGTGGGAGGAGACGCCAGCGCAAACAGACGACGGCGTCGACGAGCCCCAAAGCGAGGCCAGCACACAGCCCCTTTCCTCGTCCCAGCACGCAAGTGGACGGGAGGGCGGCCAGGAGGAGAAGGAACGCGACTCGGACGCGTCAAAGCCATGGTGGGAGCGTATCGTGGGCGGCGGTAAGAAGGATGATGGCGATGAGGAGGAAGAAGAGGATGGGGGGGAGCGCACGAGCAAGGACACGGAGGATAAGCCATCGAAGTCCAGCGATGCAGGTGAAGGAGGGTCGGCTGGTGCGGGGGACCACACGCCGGCGCGTTCGAGCAGGGGCAACTGGTGGGAGCAGGCCGCTGCCTCCCAGGAAGGAGGTGCCAGCGATAGTGATGAGCGCACGCCATCGCCACGGCCTCCGAAAGCGGCGGCGCCAGGGGCGGGCGGTGATGATGATTGGTGGGATCGCGGTGGAAACCCAGCGACAGAGCGCGATGCCGCTGACCAGGACACAGAGCAGGAGTTCATGCGCAAGTCGGGTGACGAGGAGGGCAAGCCTGGTGCGGTTGTGGGGCGGCAGGAGGAGGGAGAGGATGACGGTGGGAACAACTGGTTTGATGAGGGTGAACCTTCTCTGCCGGTTGATGATGACGCGGCAGAGGCTGCGGAGGCGGCTGCGGATGACGCCGAGGCGGCTGCCGACGAGGCAGCATCCGAGGCTGCCTCTGCTGCGGAGGGTGCTGAGGACGCTGCTGAGGCGGCAGAGGAAGCGGCAGAGGCTGGCGATGCGGCATCTGAGGCGGCGGACGAGGCTGATGAGGCCGCTGATGCTGCAAAGCGGGCAGCTAAGGCAGCTGAGGAGGCCGATGGGGCTTCAGAAGCTGCCGAAGCGGCGGAAGAAGCGGCGGAAGCAGCCGAGGACGCTCAGGATGCTGCAGAGGAAGCAGCAGACGCGGCAGAGGAAGCGGCGGAGGCCGCGGAGGAGGCTGCAAAGGCTGCGGAAGAGGCGGCCGAAGACGCCGAGGAGGCTGAGGAGGCGCTGGAGGAAGCCCAGGAAGCGTTGGAGGCTGCAAAGGAAGCGCTGGAGGCCGCCGATACAGTGGAGGAAATGATGGCGGCTCGTGATGCAATGGAAGAAGCGGAAGAGGCTGTCGAGGTGAGTCAGGTCCTCTGTCTCGCTGCTGTGCGCGGTCGCAAACTCACTCTTGGTTAGTTGCGTGGGTTCAGGTCCCAGGCTCTTTTGTTCTGATTAGCTGTTTTGGTGCCTGCTGGTCGTTCCTTGCGCCCGCTGATTGGATTTTGGTCCAGTTTTGATGTGGGTCTGGAGTGTGTGTTTTGGTGTTGGGTCAAATGCTTACGTTGCGTCGATTAAGTTGCTTGCCTGTAGGTTGCACTTATCGTGCGCTCTGTTGAGCAGCCTATATTATGGCTGCCAATACCACTTCCCTCCTTAGACCGGTGCTCCTGCCTGCCTGCCTCATGGCTGACTTGGGCTTGGCTTTCCTTGCAGGCTGCCGCTAAGGCTGCAGAGGAGGCAGCGCAGGCGGCTGAGGAGGCAAAGGAGGCGGCTGAGGAAGCACAGGAGCAGGCGGAGGAAGCGAAAGAAGAGGCCGAGGAAGCAAAAGAGGCGGCGGAAGATGCGCAGGAGGCAGCGGAAGCGGCCGCAGACGCGGCGGAGGATGCAAAGGAGGAAGAGGCCGCAGTAGAGATGTGGAAGCAATTGGAGGCAACGGCACAATAGTACGACGGCCTAGCTAGCAGCCCCAAGGTCAGCACCGGGCCAACGGATGGCGACGCTCCCACAGCCGCCAGGGCTGCAGACGATGACGCCGATGGTGACTTTCCTCGCCGGTCATCGGCATCGACACGATGACGCGAAACCTTTTGGCAGGGAATGCCACCAAGACGTTCCGCAGGTCGTCCCAAGGAGGGCCGGGGCTGCGGTGCCCTGCTTGGCGGCCCGGGGCTTGTGACACTATATAATGTGGTGCTCGGAGAGAGGTTCGTGGACTGCTGCTGCGTATCTGGGACACGGTGATCATTCCTGGGACGTGAAAATTCCTCGTGACGCTTCTTGATATGGCTCCTCCAGCATAGCATTACACGTTAGGGAGGTTGCGATATGAACCAATGGGTGGCTGAAGGTGTTTTGGAGTTAGGGACCGGGGCCGGGTTAGGAGCATTGGGGCATCCGTGCAGTGGGGCGCTTTCACTTCATCCTTGCGGGAGCTTTGCGTTTGTAGGTATTGTTAGGCGATTGCCATTGGCAGGAAGTTCAAACAGCGCAGGGGAACTGGGGCTCGCCGGCTCACCTGCAAGGATGCCAGTCGTCATAGGGAGGGCGCGTTAGTTGCTTTGCTCATAGGCACTAAACAACACTTTGCTGAGCACGCGTCCGCGTCTCTTGTGTATCCGACTCTGCAGTGATTGCGCACAAAGTGCATTCCATGGTTCCGGAGCTGTTGTGTGATGTGGATGGACTCATGTTTTGGGAAGAAGTAAGGTTCAGAGATTTTGTTGCTCGAAGGCGGTGAAGAACGAGTTGAGAGCCGTGTGTGGCGCACATGCAGTGACGGCCTGGGCTGGTACTGTGGCTGGCATTTGCCTTATCGTGTGTGTCATTCTTCAGTCTTGGGGCGGGGCCGCGACGGCGGCGCGAAATAACGCGGCGGCTGCAACAGTGTATTCTGACAACCGCTCATATCAGGCGTTGTGGGGAAGGAGCCTGCTTCGGACCTTGCATCCACAGAGCCCCATACTCTGCAGGACGGGCCGATGCTATGGTGCAGAGAGTCATGGTCCGCCGTGTGATGATGGAGGACTTTCCAGGGATGTTTGAGGAGGAAGGATGTGCGAAGGTCAGCCCAGCATAGGTTCATTTTGCGCTAGTGTTGCATAGCTGGGCCGTAGCCTATAAAAACCGTCGCCAATTCGTGTTTCCGGTGCGATGGGCGGTTGCTTGGCCGCGTACGCCTTGCATGCATCTTCTTCGCCTTTATGGCACCTGGATGGGAGGGATGTGCCTCCCTCAGCTTCCGTTACATCGCGCGCTTTACGTGCGGTAGGGGGCACGTACCGCGCGGATGATCCCGAGGGGAGGCACTCCTGCTGCACTGTTGCTCGCAGCGGTCAAACAAGCTGGTGCTAACGCGGACGCCGTTTCGACTGCGAAGGCATGGAACATGTTACAGTCGCCTTCGGGGCCTTCGTAACAGGATGCATTCATATATGAGCAGGTTTGGCAAATGTTGGAACCATCTTTCTTACTGTTGTGTTATGTACTTATTTGGGTGCAATAGGATGCAACGCCAAGCCTGGCAGGATGGAAGTCAACAGGCGTCGCAGGCATACCACAGGCGAGGCCTGGCGAGCGGTGAGGACGGGTTGGTTGGTATTTTACAGATGCGGGAGTTGCAGGAGACGTTTGATCGTATTGTTGCTGTTCCGTCGCACCTGCTGCTGCCCCATCATCAACACTGGTGCTCGTGAAAGAGTCGTTTTTGAGTCCGTCTGGGCGGCGGCCGTTTCGTGCCGATCTGGAACTGGCCGCTATTCAGTCCCCGTTGAGTCTGGTGTGGGATTTGCTCAGTTGGACTCGACGGCTCGTTAATCCTGTGGGTCTTTAGCTGGTCAACTGGTTTGGCTTACAGTGTAGTCAGCCACTTGCTTATGGGCCTGTGGTCCTTATGCGATCTGCAAGGGGCGAAGTAACTGTTCGGTGAATTCATAATGCCCAGTTTGTAGATTTCCGCGCGGCAGGGAAGATGGGACAGGGAACGGATGGACAAGGGATGGGCTCGTCAGCGAATGCTGTTTCCGTACGGTATTACGGGGCGTCCCTTGGATGGCCCCCTCTCTTTGTGTCGTGCGATTGCGGTGGCATTCGTAACGTAAATTAGCTGGGGATAACGCGCTTCAATATGCAGCTCCCCGCGTACGAAACAATTAAATTTGCGCATGGCATCAAATGTATTGACGCCTACTGGGTGACGCTTTCGGCGCTTTGGGGCCCATGGTCATGAAGCCCGTGGGCCGACAACCCTTTTGCCACGTGGCAGCGATGCCCACGTTGGGATGGGTAATGTGCCACGATGTATTACGTTCCTACCATGTCTGGCTGCGCGCCAGGATTCAACCTCCGTTACCACGAGAAAAATGGTTTTACCTGCTGTACCTGGATTTCGCCAGTGTATCCAGGTCGCTCTGAATCACTGACTTTCCGGCGACCCACTAGTATATACATCACATTATTTGGATGACGCAGTAGCTGATTACGCGACAAATGAACTGCTCTAATGGAATGTAATAACGCCCAATCGCTGAGTGCGCTCCCACAATGTACACAGTGCCGCGTGTCCATCGGCCCAAGCGCACCAGGCCACACAGGTTCCATCTAAGATTCTTGCAATGGATACGGCATGGGTATCACGCCCCACGCTGCTTAGAAACACCCGCCAGACCATTGAAAAGACTGACAAGGCCCCTTCAGTTCGACCCGGGAAAAGATCTGATATGGCCCAGAGAAGAACTAACGCGCACTATCCTAAGCGAGACACCAAACACATGCCTGCCCACGGACGTACTCGTCCAGCATGACACATACAGCCTGCTCCCAAGGCGAGAATGGACGCCTACACATGATGCGATCCCATCAAAATCCATGCATAATCCGTGTCCTCCCACATGACACCCCGTTGGAAGTTGCATTGCACATTGCACAGCCTCAGCCACAATGAGTTGTGGCGATCGTGAAGCCGTTCACATGCGCCTTTAGTCCAAGCTACAGTGTCAATAGCCCTGCTGCATCGCCACAGCTGCGAACCGGCCTGCGACCGGCGTTCTACCCTCAGCTTAGCCCTCCACCCATGCCCGCTAGCCCGCCCATCATGCGGCCGCCAGTCTATAACCCTCGCAGCGTCCCACGCAACAATAGTAACTCCACACACGCTTCCATCCACTCATAGTCACCCACCACATAGTCAATCTACACACGCTCACGTTCTAAGTTGTTAACAGGTAGGAAACAATCAGTACCCACCTCTTTAGTCGGCGTCAATCGAGCCCCCCAGAACCCCCGTTCCGTCCAATCAATCGCGGTTCATTCATAAGCCCAATCCCTCTACTCGACGCAGACAACAATACGAGCGCCCGGACAGACACCACGTGCCCTCATCGCATGAGGGATTGGCCCCGCATGTTGCGGCTGCTGCATTTCCAGAGCGGCCCATTTGGAACCTGCAACCCACGCTGTTCTGAAATCGTGACTGGTTCGTGGTTCTCCAAACGCCGTGTCCAGGAGCCCCGAAATGGAGCCCAGTGCTGTTTAGAAGCAAGCCCCTCCGCAATGGCCATGACGCTACTTCCTGTATACTCCTGCTTGGTACTGGGTCGTTGGCAACCCCCCTAGCTGCTGTAATCGGTTGAACACCTGCGCAACGAACGAACGGTAGTCCCAAACGTATACTCGTCAGCTGGAGTTATCGCTGGTTTGTTTCCAATACCCGCTGGGAGATGGCTGAAGACTCGCCTTTAACCAAGCCTATGGCAGCAGCAGGTGCAGCAGGTGTGCGTGTAAACATCACACCTTGACACCTCCTCTTAACCATGTGCTTCTTACCAAACGAAACAGGCCTGACAGATCCCTTCCTCATAAGGATGTCCAGTGCCCCCCACGGGCCTCTTACCACAAACCAGGTAGGGTGCTCACCAGCTTGAGGACCGGTAGGTCCAATATCTTGCTCAGGACGGGTACCCGTCGCAAGAATTGCAAAACAGTTGGAAAGAACTCGCAAAACAAGAGCCAGAAGCCGTACGCCTCCAGTGCGAGCCCGATGACCGTCCACCCATACACCACCACGGCGCAACCCCCCAGGTAGAAAGCTGACCCCTGCGCGTATAGCGCACGTGATGAGATGCACTTTGATAACAGTTTTACAAGGCAGGTTGATAAAGGCTTATATACCTTTCGATTCTTCCTTTTCATGAAAAAACTGACCGTCGAATGGAATCCGATCGTGGTTGTAAGTCCGGCAAGAAACAATAGCTGCACGCAACGTCCAAAGAAGAAAGTAAGGCGGCCTGTATAGGTCATGCTGAGCCTGTACGAGATGCGTTCGCTTACGTTCCCCATGGCAATTAGCCCACGATCGAACAACAGCAGCATCCCCAAGATTGTGAAAAGGATGCCAAACGCAGTCAGGCCCAGCCCGATCTCTGCATATAGATTAGGACAAATTACAACGGTAAGCGCTTGCTCCAGTATGCGTTCAAATGACAGTTGACATACTAAGAAGCACTTACTGCGCTGGTCGGTCAGCCATCCTGATGACAACATGGCTATTATCCGACGTAGTCAAAGCTAATTACGCGCTCTACATCGGCGACGCTTGGGAGCTGGATAGAAATGCAGCTAATAAGATTGCATCAACACAACGTTCTTTTTACTGTTGGCATGAGTTTATTAGTTGCTATGCTTTCCCCCTCGGTTCGGGACACGGAAGTTTAACTTCTTTGTGCAGTATCTGTACGGCTCTGTGTCCAGTCATGGTTACCTTTTCTACCTGAGTAAGATGCGCCATCGTAGCAACAAGCTCAAGTGTTCCTTGTAGTGTGCTGGGCACCAGGAACTATGCCTCCAACTATAGGAGCAATTAATGTCTACCCCATCAAGAGCTGCCGTGGGGTTTCCCTTCAGTCTGCTTTCCTAACGGAGGCAGGCTTAATGTTTGATAGAGAATGGATGGTACGTTGGATGTATACTACTGACTTTTAATCAGTAACCAACACTTATCGGGAAAGCCCTCAGATGGAACCCCGAAACCCAGGTTTTCATGTCCCCGAATTTGTCTCCAGTACTTAAGTCTTGCTTAACCTGACTGGATCAACATTGCAGGTGGTGCGTGAAGATACCGGCAAGTTTATTTCCCAGCGTGAGAAGGAGCTCCTTGCTTTGGTATGTAGTGCGCACGGGACGGTCTGCAAAGCCTTGGGAATGCTTCCCTGCAACTTCTACGCACATTTACACCCGTGGCGTTGCACACCTTGCCCCAGCGAATTCTGTAACCTGCCTGACCTCAACATACATCCCACGGAACCCCTTTCCCATCGGAGCTCTGGCGCATTTCCTCCTGCCGGCAGTGCTGAAGCCAACGCCCAAAGGCATGCTATGGCACGCAGGGTTTGTGATATCGAGGCTAACAGAAAATCGAGACTAACAGCCTCTGGGGGAAATTGCGCGCTCTTGTACGTACGCTAGCTTCCCCTTTTCACCCGTAAGCGCCAAGGAAGCCACCATGAAGGAAAGCCGGACAAATTCAAATCCCCGCCGACCTCGCTCTTCACCCTTTGGTAACCCGCCAGCACCGCTGCTGCTGCCGTTGTCCAGTTCCAATTGCCCATTGTCCTTTTGCCTGGTGTTGCACCCACCATCCTCACCCGTTTTCAACTATACGTCAGGTCGAAGTCGCTCTGGCGCCTGAGGCGCTCATTGCCGCCCACAGCGGCCTCTCACAGCTGCCGCCTGGTTCGGTTATGACCGTGACTGCTCCAGGGATGGACGAGCCGCTTCAAATTCCGCTGGGGCGACGACCCAACTGCGACACCCGGTGCGATGTTGGAAGATTAATGAGGACCTACCGTACGCACGACATTGCCTGTTTCGCTATTGGCATATGTACGTATGTATGTATGTACGTATGTATGTATGTATGTATGTATGACGTTGATTACACTGTGGGCTGAAAAGCCGGGGGCCCAGGGCCGAAGCACAGCGCGGGGGGCGGGTGCATACGGCTGGTTAGTCTCATGCACTCCGCCCCCGGGTCAGGCCGCACGGGAAACGACGGCCGGCACGCAACAGCGCTTGTTTGGCGCTCCAACTAGACGGGATCTATGCCCGTTGGTCTCCTAACATAAACGAAGTCGCAACTGGGGGGCTCTTCCTGCCGACCGAACGAACCGAGCATCTCAGAGAGCTCGCTACCAGGACCTGGGCGACCGGGAGCCCGACGAGTCATCCCGGGCTGGGGAGGTCACCAAGCTCAAAAATCCTCACGCAAAAAAGAGCGCAAAGAGCTCACACCACAAGACGCCAAACAGCCTCCTTAGACTACTACCCTCCTCCGCCTCTCCCTCCCTGGGCTAGTCCAGGGGAGATAGCCCCCGTCGAGGGGGTAACACCGCACAAGTCCGCGCCCTTCCACAGCACT